AGAAAAGGCAGCCAAAGGGAGAGCGGGCCACTGGCCCCAACCCCAAACTCTTGGGGCTGCACCCCAAACTCTTTATCATGAAGAACAGGACCTGCTGCTAAAGACAGACCCCCTCTACCCAGGGTAATTTGTGGTGACATCTTGGCATGACAATCATGAAGARTGCAAATGCTAGTACTGCTTAAAGCTGCCGAAAAACAACAGATGTCTAAGGAGAGTTTAAATGACATAAATGCCACTTACGTACAGTACTTTACAGAAAATATCTTTGTTTTGACAGATAAATAATTACATATTCTGTGGAAATGTTCTATTTCAAGGAAAAAGCAATACTTTCAGGAAAAATGAGCACTGAAAAAAGTTATAGAAAGTGTTTCCTCTTTTTTTCCCCCCCACAGTAAAATACACATNAAAAAAAAAAAAAAAAAAAAAAAAAAAAAAAAAAAAAAAAAAAAAAAAAAAAAAAAAAAAAAAGTAATGCTACTTTTAAACCTCAAAGATTTTAAAGTATTCCCAAGGAGACAGCTTTTCACCTAGTTCATGAAAGTACTTCAGATCCAACCACCCAGCCCTCCAGACATGATGATTAAAACTCCTTCACTACACACCACAAGCCTAACTAGACAAAATACCCAAMATTATTTGGACATTTTGGAAAATTATTTAGATATTTTGGAATCCAAAATTACCTCTTTCCCACCCTAATTCTTCCAGATATGCATCTTCCAAATTTATCGTCACCTAGATGATAAATTAGAACTACAGTATCGTTGGGGACAACGCCAGAGTGCAAGCCCTGGCTCCAGGATCAAGTGGGAGGTCCTGGCTCGTGACAGGACTGGTCACAGCCACCTTACACAGCACTTGATCTCAGACTCCTGAGGGCCATACGTGGCCTTCCTTTCACCTTGGGACTATCATATATATGAAATATATTTATCTTCTTAATTCAAAGTGCCCAAAATCATCAGAGATGCAATATATCTTTTGAATGCCTTTTTCATAKGGAAGGCACATACTTAAAGTTTTGGAAGCGTACAGGGTGCAAGATCTGCAAATGTAATGGTAAGAGACCAGTTGCAAGTAGAAGACAAAAAAGGCTTTCCAACTCTCTTTTTAGACCATTTTTGCAAGGACAGTTAGCTCCTACAACAGCTGCCCTACTGAGCAGTATCAGTTTCACATGGGTAGAGGTGAGAGAGCAAAACCAGGTGGAATTCATTCACCTCACACCTACTCTGAAAGGCAACAGACAGCCGAGGGCTCCCATAGCGCGCGCAGCCTCTTGCACAGCCGGAGCGCTCCGTGCTTCACGGAGGAAGAAAGGAGAACCACGAGACTTCACAACCGCATGACACAGTTGCGAGAAAAGATGAGGATATCAGGRAATGTGTTTATTCATTAGTACAGAATCACATAAATTATACTTTTATTCCCTCCTAGGTTCAAACCACCATTCTCCTGAATTCAAATCCTAATATTCTAAACAGCAGTAACTCTAAAAATGAACCAGAATAAAAGCTCTAGTAGGTCTTTAYTGAGCTGATATAGAATTAGAATTAGCAATCAGAATTTCTATTTCAAGCTTTGTTTTTAGATGTGCTGAGACAGTCCATAAACATAAGGGTAGATTAGGGAGAAAACTACCAAGAAAGGAGCACTCTGGGAAATCAGAATTCTGGTCCAGAGACTAATTCCTCCATCCATAGGGATAGCCTCTCTACCATCACTGCCATTCCAATACCATTCTTTTCTTTATTAGCTAGTATAAAAAATAAATTTTAAAAAAGTAAAATATTACAGAGTACAGCCACAAACATGTTATAGATAACCTGCTAATTGGAATTTTTTGTTCCTATGAGTACTAGGGTTAAGCATAATAGGGAGAAGAAAAAAGGAGGAAGAAAGAGAGGGAGGGAATGGAGGAGGGAAGGAGACTTCAGAAACTGAGCTGCAGTATATTTCAAGTCTTAGCTATACAGATTTGATTTTTCTTGATTCAACTGGCAAAATTAGTTTTCTCCRGATAGATGAAAGCCCAGAAACACAAAAGAAAATGGAAAAAAGGAAATTGTCTTTTTGCTGTGTATCCACTGCAAAAGAAAAGGGGAGGGGCGCAAGGAGGGGGAACAGAGTAAGGGACAGCGAGGTGCTGAGTCCATCTAACACTGTGAATACAGCAGCTCTATTATTGCCTTTGAAATCAGGAAAGGTCTTTCCTCCATCTTGAGCACATACTTGCATATATTTCATTGTACAAGATACCGCACAGAGCATTGGAAAAGCAACATTAGACTAAAATTTAGAGCTGACAGTTGAAATTTTGGTGTATTATCTCAATCTATGCTTAAAAAAAGAAACAAAAATATCCAAGATAAACACTTATTTGTTTTGCTTCAATACTGCTTTCATCATTCCTCAGTAAACACTCTCTAAAGGAATGAAACTATGACTTGATTTCTTTTGATAACTTCTAATAAGCATTAGTTTTAATAAACATGACCTAACTAAAAAATAGCGTTTTGTGTTTAAGCCTACAAATAATGCACTACATAAATTCACATACCTACAGAAAACAAAAAGAGCAAAAGGTCTAACTAGTTTTCTGTTTCTCCTTGTTCCTTTCAAGTGCTGCAGGAACAAAGCAACAGCCCAGACAACGGGGACCCACTCATGCAGCAGGGTCTCAGCTGGCATGAAGCTACAACACTGTGCCACAAAACCAGAACCAGACTGTGCTTTTCATTGCAAGAGCATAGCAGAGAAGGGACTTACATAAAATCCAGAAAAGCTGGAGTGTAGGTTAAAACATYCAGGGGCAAGTGCACTGTTTGTACTAAACACTGCCCTTCCTGTGTGTATGTACAAGCTCCAAACACACTCATTTCACCATCAAGTTCTGCAAGGTTTTAGGTAATTTGTTACATAGACAKAGAGTATATGATACTACTATTTATGCTCATTATTTTATTTTTATGCTTACAGACTATTTCTCCCTAAATGGTATTTTCCAGATAAGGTAAGGTTTTCTCTCTGAGGTATACACAAACAATAATAGTAACATTAAATAAAAGCTGGACCTCTTTAGAAGAGGGAAAATATCAGAAAAATAGTACTTCCACAGCAGTATTGAAAACCTGCCATTCCTTTATTCTGCTCTTAATAAATATTCCTTTTTAGGGATTTGTTATGGAAAAAATGTATACGTATACATATTTTTCCTCCCTCATATACCTACATGCAAACACATACACATGCAATGGGACTCTTTTTTGATGAGTACAAGTGACGTGGATTCACCAGCACACCCCAAACTCATCTTCAGATAATGCAAAGTGCACGGAACCGGTCGCATCTCATTTGCTCTGCATTATATTTCCATTCCACATACACATTTCCATACCAGACGCTCAWTGACCAAGCCCTCCAGTTTCACAACTTGCAGGCTGCATGGTATGACAGTATCCATCCAACACTGAAGACATTTCTAAGGTTATGAAATCTGAAGATTTCATAAACAAGAAACAAGCCAAGAAACAACCTCACTAGAGAATATATAGTTTAGGATGCAGACTCCTACAGGGACCATGAGACTATGATGAACTGGGCWGCTTTGCAGAAGTGGGATACTACAAGAAGAAATTCTGTTTGAGGGCTTGATACTCCATCAGGTTGAAGGCAATAACATCAATGAACTTAATTTAGGCACTATTAGGCTTGGTTAATAGACTCTACCTTCTGATTAGATGCTGACATTGTTTGAAAAGCAGAATTAAGTTTCAGGAAAGKGAATGGCCTATGTAGGTATGAAGAGCCACTATTACAGCATGAAGACATGTTTTTTTTAAATGAAAATAAAATTATTTAGAAATCATGCACAGTTGCAAACTATCACAGTTTCATTTTAAGAAAACTAGATTTGAGTTGCAGTACCTGCAGTAAGATAGCTTTATTGCCTCTCCTGTGTCACCACCAKGCAGACAGCAATGCAAGTTAAAACCTCCTCTATTTTTCAACACAGCTACAACTGGCTTTCTGAACTACACTGCATGTGATCAAAACAGATTAGACAATCTCACCGWCCAACCTCAGACCTCAAAAGAGCATCATTACTCCTTAAAAGAAAGCAGTCTTTCCAAGTAGAGATTCTTAATGAGATTAGTGAAACAGCGTATAACTACTGACTTGGCAAAAATCTTATGCCCATCACACAAATAGATTGTCCTTTGCCATTTTCAGTTTTATTCTGTAGCATTAAAAGGATCTTTTTTCCTGTCACTTTTTTCATAGCAGAAGAAAATCTACTGTAACTAATGATATTTTCCAAAAACTAAATGTAGAAATTTATGAAAATTTATAGCTGATCTGTGAAGAGAAAAAAAAGCCTTCTGAAACCTTAAACTTTTTCTTTTTATAAATTAATTTTAATTTTTTTTTTAATTAAAGCACATGCACTGACACAGCAGCCAAAGTCAAAACCTATCAAAGTAAGCTTTCTTCAGTGAGGTTTTGCTGATCGTGTATCAGTAGCACCACCATGTGTTAGGTGAAGAGGATGTATTTATTGCCAAGAGTTTTCTAGTATTGTAGGCTATAACAGCTATTAGAAATTATGGAATTGATGTAGACCTAAGTAGAAGCAAGACTTTTTGCACAAAGTTGTCACACCAAACTTGCATAGACTTACCATACCATTGGAAGCAAAACCAAAATCTTAAGGGGTTTGTTTGTGTTTTGTTTTTAGAAAATACATCCCTATTTTTTCCCCATTGCTAAAAAAAAAAAAAAAAAAAAAAAAAACCCACACACTCCTCTGAAAAGGGGGCTATATAGATAGATCTAAAGTCCAATAGGGGAAAAGAGTAACTGCAACATTAGCACTTAAATGCTGCCAAAGTACTGTATACTTATTTATACTATACATAAGTCTTCAATAGGATTACTGAAACACAAAATTTACTAAGTTTTGGATTATTAGAACATTTACTAATATTACTTACACTAACATGGGTTTCCCTGATATCTTCGGGCTGTTTAAAACTTCTGTCATGGCTTGCTTTGTTTCTTCCATTCTYGCAATGTCACTGGAATCCACGACAAATATCACACCATAGGACTCAGCATAGTAATTCTTCCAGATGTTTCGAATTCGTTTGCCACCTCCTAAATCAAAGATGGTGACTTCAAATCGTCCCTGTTTAAGGTCAATCTTCGAAAACCCAACAGTCGGAGCTACRTCTTCAGGAGACTCTGTCAGAGTTGAAACAAGAAAACTCTCAGGAAAACGTTTCCTTAGTGATTTGTGTAGCAAAATTTATGTTGCAAAGGCAAGGGACAACTCCTTCTTAAGTGGTGACATATTGCTAAGCATATATTTTATATTAGTATTTTCTTTCTCCTCAGATAATATTATTTTGCATTCATTTAAATAGAAGAACTAGAAAAAAAAATTAAAAAAGCAATCAACTTTGTGTTTAAGCATTAAAAATACAGCCTGAACAAAAATACGATTTTGTGGTATTAATACATGTTTGAGAAAGAATACCAACAAAACAYTTACAGCATTATGATTCAAGGTGCTTCACATTCCGTAGTACCCCCCTCCAAAAAAAAGTAAGGCTTTCATGGAGTACTCATGGCTGCCAAAACTGCTCTAATGTTCAAACCAAGGGCTGAGATTAAGTGAATGCCTGATGAGCCTTTAAAGAATCTAAGACCAGGTTCTACTGAAGTGTAAACTACTTCATCCAAGGTCTGTTTTTTGTTTGTTTTGCTTTTTTTGATGCTCCTTGGTTTTGCTTGCCATGCAAAATKCTTTTTGCTGCAGCTCTATATTAACATTTCTGCTGGTTGTGTCCCTCTCCAGCTGACAGAAAGATCCCTGCACCTGCCTCATACCACTGAGCAGACTCTATGAGGGTGAGTTAATTGGATTTCTGCAACTGCTTCACGGAGCTTGGCAGTACAAGGTCAGTGAACCAGCTTGTAAAGACCAAGAACTAAAGGCAGGGCTAAAAGCRACCTCAGCAACCTGAAAAGCAATGTGGAAACTGTCACATCAGTCAGGCACCACCAGGCTCTTGGGAGAATTCTTGTTCCACCACAGACTGGGATTCAGAACAGACAACAGCCAGAACAGTGTAAACCAGAACTCCACCAAGGAGATGGGGATACCTGTTTGTGGATAATTACAGCTTCAATTCTAAATATATTTGGAAGAACATTTTGCACTGTGCGCCATGTGCACGTGCTCAAGCAAGAGAAAACAGGGAGAACTTTGGGGTTTGTTAAAGGCCAAAGAATCAGTTACCGAAGATGCTGAATTTACAGCAATGTTGTTGAACAGCCTTCATCGTAAAAACCTCTGTAGCTCTGTAGWAGCTGCAGATCTATATTAGCAAGTATGACTCTGACGACTAGGCTCATCTGCCCAGGCTTTAAAAATCCTAAGACTCAAAATACACCTGAAATAGGTTTCTGCTAAATCTACTCATCATAACTGCAGTCTCCTCCTATAGGCTGTATCACTGCCTATATCAGGCACAGCCTTTATCAGGCCTGAAGGCTAACTGAAAGTCTGCAAGCCTGGGTAAAGAAGGAGGAAAAAAAATAAAATWAAAAAATTWAAAAAGCCAACAAYAAAAACCCCACACTTCTAGACCAAATGCTATTCAAGCTATGGTACTCAGCCACGGGAAACAGTCACAGAAGTGGAAACCATCTTTTAATGGAATTTCCCATCAGAAATATCATATTCATCTTTGCCTTGTTTTTCCAACAGGACATTCTTCTAGCAATCTTTTAGAAAACCAACCAAACAAAAAAACYCCAACAATTTCAGATGATTAAAAAAAATAAAATCAGCAAGATACATCTTGAAACTCAATGGAAAACTAAATAAAGTACTCAAGTTTTCAAGATGAAAACACTGGGATATAAATGGGAGAATATTCGTAACTTTATTTTACTGTTGCAAGTCAGTGAATTCATATAACAAAAACAAATTAAAAAATTAAAGTGGAGTGCCAACTTTTAAGCCTTTCAAAACAATGCATAATACTCCTGCTACAAGATACCCTCCCAAGATTTCCTGCAATCTTGTAAAAGAAAAAATAGTGAATATTGTAAATATAGATATAAGTATATAGAAAACTGCTTGCACATTTTTGCTTATAAGCAATGATATAAAATATAATTTGTTAGAACCACCCTTTCAGTTATGTGCATAYGTATATATTTCCTTTTACAGGATCTTTTCCCAATTACACATACTTACAACATGGATCTTGCATTTAGTTTACTGACACATACACATTATTGGATGGTTAGTTTTAGTTTTTAACTGATTTAGAGGTCTTTACATAAGACAGCCTGTGAAATACTCACTTTTGCTATTAGACTCTTATAGAGCAGAATGCCATCTCAGAAGTTTTTTTTGTAAGAGTAAATGAGGGAGAGATAAATTAAGAGATTAGACAAAAACAATGGAAAAAGTAAACTTTTACTCTCTCCTTAAAAGGTCACTTTACATCATAAAAATTGATTGCCTTACCTCCTTGAATTCCTCGCACTGTAGCAGTTTTGCCAGCATTGTCAAGACCGACCATGATTAGCGTCACCTTCCTCCAAAGGAAAAAAAGAAAAAAAAAACCCTCTAGCTAAATATCACTTAATATATTAAGTTTTTGAATAYATCCAAACATCTATTAAGTTTCTGAATACATGGATAGTAAATTTATCCCAAAGTAGCAGAAAGAATAGGTTTCAACCTATCTAGTAGGAACTGTTCCAATTGTGTACCTGGTATTCAGCATGTCAACCCATCTTATTAAACAGAACAGTGCATGAAATAAGAAGCCTTACACTAWGCTATAAGATTCACATGTGACAATGATCTTGCTTTTAACTTGAACTTGATTGCTGGAATTTGCTTTTATGGCACTGTAAATTCTATCCCCTTTTTTGGTACAATCATGGACTCTTAATAATTTAAAAAAAAAAATCATTTCCATTTTGCTGTACTCTTTCTCCTCTCTGAAAGAAAGATGTGGTCTTGCCTATATGAGGAATTTATCCTCATCTCAACCTCTGCAGCTGAACAATACTATACAGTATAAAACACCTTCCTAGATGACACAAGCTACTATAAGCTAAGTGGAACAAACAGTCAATATGCCATTGGTTCAAACAGGAGCAATCCAGGCTCCTATAATACATGGCAAGACCAGTTCCTCTACCTGGTTACAGGTCAGAATTCTTATCAGCACAGGGTTTTGAGCAAAGCAATAAGAAAAATATCTGTATGTATATCCCAATCATTCCTTCAATGCACATGGAGTCAAAGGAATTTGCCAAACTTGACATYCACTCAAGCTTCTCTAAGTGAAGGATTATTAAAAACATGGTTATCTCCGGTCTTAAAACTGTAATAGCATCACACATGAGGTGCAATTCAGGGTCTTTCAGAAAAAAAACAAAAAGATCAGGAGAAAAAAAAAAAAAGAATGAACAGCAGGATCACAGTAAATTACACTTTAACAATAAGCTACAGCCAGAACAGCCATGAGCAGTTCTGAATTCACAACGACCTATAATATATTAGTGGTGTCAAAAAGCTTTTTAATATACTTCTTTGTATCACAGCACATTCTGCAAAATGTAATCTTTTCCAGCATTCTAGGGAACTCTGCATCTTATATGAAATGTAAATAAATGTGTACCCCTTACTTCCCCTCTTATATGGTAGATGTCTTGAAATAAAATTCGTTCATTGACGCCAATTGAAAATAAAAGGATGCAGGATGTCGAAGAAACAAAAAGTATGAAAACACTTTAATGCTTTAAGTGAGAACAGAGCCATCAAATTGACCACAAAACGCAATAATAAAGTACATAAGTAACAGTAAGAAAATGAGTATTATGTGTGTGCTAGGCTACTCATGACAATACAGTGTTTTAACATATTGCACTTAAATAAAAATAAAATAAAAATAATATAAATAAAAATAATAAATAAAACAGCAAAGTTTTACACAGTCATCTTGGTGTCACCTCATATTCCTGCCAATTTCCAAATTSAAAATGGAAAAGGGATGATATTTTGAACCTCATACTGTCTTTCAGTCAGAAAAAAATACCCCTTCTAGTGGCGAATACATTTTGGTTTTAAGTTAAATATACTGGTTTTCTCTTGGAAAGAAAGAGATAAACTAGTGGGTTGATTTTAAAGCATTAATGAATGAAAGATACCAAATAAAAGCTAAATATGAGTGAGAGGACATGAAATACAGTTTGGGAGGAAGGTCAGCAAAGATGTGCAAACTGCTTTTGTGCACTTACCTGACAGGTTCTTGCCACCGTTTTAGCCAGTTGCAGCAATTGGCCATTAGATTGAACATCCCTCTTCACTAGCCATCCAGAGCCACACAGGCTACAGAAACAAGTGTGGACAGGCCAGGATGCCCCAGAAGATGGTGGGAGAGGCTGTAGAAGCTCAGATGTTGTCTTGTCACTGCTGGCAAGCAGAAAAAGCAAATGAAGAAACACACAGTTAGCCCCTACAAGTGACCAGAACCAATCACTTCCCTAGCAGCAGCCGCCTATACATGTCAGGATACATGTACATGTCATGTATACTGTCAGCTACATGTCAGCCGCCTATACATGCCAGTGACTGTCTCTGCCATTGGCTTCATAGCACTCACTGTACATTCCACTTTTCCATTCTCTCCAACTTAACTTGCAGTAGAACCTGGTCCCCATTTTACATATATGTGGGCAGTTGCACCATACCAGCCCCACAAAATAATAATGTGTGACCAGTGCACATAAGGGAAGCTGTAAGCTAGGACAATAAGACACGTAATATGTCTATGAAATTCTACTGCTTGCCTAGCTAAAACATCCCAGTTCTACAGCTTTCAGTCTATAGGAACCAATTTCAAGTTCAGACAAGGCCTAAGAATACAGCAGAAGTCAAAGGATGATGGACATGTTTATGGAATCTTTCCGTTTATGACAGGATCTGGGCAGGAACGATGCTCAGCATGTTCATTTACTGGCAGTTTCTTTTAAGGGGGTGGAGGGTGGGGGTGGTGGGACGCCACAAGAAGCAACATGAGCTCGCTTGAAAACGCTTTGAGAAACAGGCAACTTCCAAACTTCTTGTCCCTAAATTTAAGCAGTATCAGCAGTACTTCAGTCATTTTACAATGCCATTTTCTGCTTTTCTAGCAAGAAAGAGAAGAAATCGCAATATGCTCCACAGACCAAACAGTAAGAAATGATCACGTGTGTATTTACTTTATGAATATGTAAAAACAATCAGAAAAGCTTACACATCACATAAATACATAAAGAAACGGACTCTTAGACTCCCTTTGTTATTTCAGCTACAGCTACTGCAGAGAGCAGCAGAACAAAACTGCTCGGATAAAGGCCTTCCACAGGACAGGCTCAGGCAATGCCACCCTGCTGTTTCAGAGCTGTTACCTCTGTTAGGATGCCAGTCCCTTCCAAAGGTGAACGGGGCCCTGGCAGGAATATGCACCATCACCACCGTGCCTTCATCTCAGAGACTCCAGTCCAACCTTTTATCAGCAGCTTAAACTTCTGCATTAGAGTAGCTGATATGTAGATTTGTTTCCTACTGCTCACCTGGCTCCCTGAGAGTAGGAATACTTTGAATTGCTACATGTTTGCTAAAGTTTGTTACTCAGATTGTTTGTTACTCAGATTTGCAAGAGTTCTTACAAAAACAGCCCTTTCACGTTTTAAACTACAACTAGCTTAAAACCAAACTAACTTCTAATTACTTTTTCCCCAGTGGTTTTTTTTTTTTCATATTTGTCTAGAGTCAGAAAAAACAAACAAACACAAAAACACACACAAAACACACAAAAAAACCCACACATCCTTAACAAACACACTCATCCATACCTAGCTATGACGGTCTAGGTAACGGGCCAGGTAGGATCTAAAAAAAACTTCTCCTGGTCTTATTAAGTTGTTGYATCCAGGGATGCCTTTGTATGAAACTGCCACCACTCAATGCCACAAACAGGTCAGATTTCTTCTGGAGCAGAGACAACAGATACTCTTTAAATATTTACATCCCTTTATACATGAGCACTTGAGAACAACTTCTCCATAAATCTGGCATGTGGAAAACAGAAAAGCTTCCTTAAAGAAGGGCAAGATGATTTACAGGTACAACAAGTTTTAAAATCAGGATCATAATAAATCCCTCCTCCCCAAAGTCTCTCCCAAATCCCCTCTCGCAGTGGGGTATGTTCAGATGCAGAAGGTAAGGCTAATTTGGAAGGTAAGGCTGCATTAACTCTCAGCAAGTTCCGCTGAAAAGCAAAATGTAACAGCCCAGTAAGCTACTACTGACAGAAATTTAACAATTTTAATACCACAGTTTCACCAGTGAGCATACCCCATACCCATATAATTTCTCAC